CTAAGGTCTCCGGCCCTGAGGGCAGGACCCCCCTCAGGTGCAGGGAAGGGGCAGGATATAAGGATAGGCACTTGCAGGTGAGATGGCGGAGGGTACGGGGAGAGGGAGAGGCCCCCGCTCCAGCTGGGCTTCTAGCTGACACGGGGCGAGGGGCCTGTTCTCCAGCCAAGCCTGAGGGAGTATGTCCCTTGGCTGGTGTTGAGTGCCAGCGGGAGAGGGCAGAGCCAGGCACGGAGCTGCCAGGGCCTCAAGCCACCCTCCCTGCCCACTCCCCACAACCTCCCAAACCACACCCCAGTGGCTCCAGCGGCTCCTGGCAGGGTCACCAGACGCAGGAGCAGGCCAGTCCCAGCCACAGCAGGAGCAAAAGCCATCAGACTTGTCTGTCAACTCTATTAACACAAGGGCACGCCACAAACACATATAGAGATACACACAACACATGCACGCAGACACACACGCACTCATGCAGACATGTGCGCACGTGCACACACACACACACGTGCGTGCGGCGGGCCCGCAGCCTCTGCAGAAGATGTGCAGAGATCCAGGAGTGAGGGGCAAAGGAGTTTGTTCAGTGGGGCAGAGTTTGTTTACCCCAGAGCATCACCCAAGTGTGGAGTACTCACCCGCCCCCGCATAAAAATCAACTCTTTACACACGTACTTCTCCAACACACAAGCCATCCCCAAGCCTCGGAAGCACAGAGCTGGACAGCACGCGGTGTGCACAGTGAGGAAGCTGATGGGAGCCACCTGCGGTCCCCAGGCTCAGTCTGGGTGGTGGGGCCTGGAGGACCATCACAGATGCAGAGCCCTCAGTGGGTCCCACGCTGCCTGTCCCATGAGGACACTCATCAGGTTGTGTGGAGAACATGCCCTGGAAGACGGCGAGACAGGAACCCAGCTCCTGGTGCCTCAATGCAGCCCCAGCTCTGGGACATCCCCCTTTGTGGACCTCCATTTTCTTCCCACACGACACTTAACTTCCTCAAACTTCCCAGATTTAACCAAACTGGGGAAAAACGCCCCATCCCACCATAACGATCCTGGTTCTGTAGACCTTCCGAATCCCCAGGGGGAAAAAACATGGAACAAAAAAGTTCCTTCATTATAGCAAAAGGCCTGAGGAAAAGCAAGAAACAACAGGAAGGTGAGCACATAGAAACAGAACATACAATGGCGGGTCTAACAAGACCAAAACATCAAGAATCTCAATTAAGGTGAATAGGCCAAGACTCTGAGATTGGGCAGAATACAATTAGACAAAATCTGGCCCAAGACGGTTCACGCAAGCCACCGAAAAGGAGACTCCTGGTTCTGGGTTGGAAGGCTGAGGAGACAGTAGCAAACCACATCCAGTTACACGTTTGTCTGCAGAGCGGTTGAAGGACAGGCTCACACGGGGCCTGGGACAGCCCTGGTCTCTTACAGAATGGGATCCAAGGACCCAAGGAAGCACTGGGAAGCCAGCTCTGCAGCGGCCTCCTGCATTAAAACAACCTCTCCACCTCTCTCAGCTGAATGGGCACCTGCCTCCCGACAGGCTGTCTCAGACCCTGGTGCTTACTCTGACTTAGATGTTTATTCTCCTCTGGGAGAGCCCCTGCTCAAACCAGGCGAGCACAGGGCCCCCGATAACCACCAAGGGGGCTGAGCCACCATTTCTTTATCAAAAGCGCTTGAAAATGCTGAAAGTGTTCTCCTCGTCTCGCCAGGAAGCAGTCTTAGACTACATAAGCTCTGCCGTGATCTGCTAGGACACTTTGTGCTCTGACCCAGCTCGGGCGAACAGCCGGTCCAGCCCCCCTGCAGGGCTGCAGCGGGACCAGCTTGCTGCTTTTGTTGCTCTTGGTGGTTAGCTTTCCCAGGCAGGAATCTCACCAGCTTATAATTACAAACAATGTGCTGTGATTGGTTCTCTCAGGAGCAGGTAAGGCTTCTGAAGTCAAGGACCTCCAACACAAGAAGTGCAGGCCATAAACCCTCATGGCCTTCGTGAAACAAGGACTTTCAGAGACAAGGGGGCTGACACATAGAGGCTGGTCAGAGGGCATGCAGAGGGAGAGGGTTCTGGAGACGGGGTAGGAGAGTGGACGGCCCGAATGCGGTGGAAGAAGAGACTTCGGAGAGGGAGAGAGGAACTCAAATCGTATTCATTCCTTTGTTCATTCATTAACTTATCCAGCGCCCAATATACCAGGGCTGTGGAGAGGCCCCCATGCTGTGCCCACGGTCTAGCTGGGGAGACCCACCAGTAAAGGGTCAACTGCAAAGCCACAGGATCCGTGCAGAAAGAGAGTCAAGCCCTGGGCACCAGACAGCAGCTCACCCAGCCCCAAGGGAGGGCAGGCCAGGGAGGGGAAGAAGGCTGGGAGCTTCCTAGGAGAGGGAGGAGACTGGGCAAAGGAGGAGGTGGGGAGAACAGGGGGAGGGGAGCCTGGCAGAAGTGTTTATCTGCAGGGCTGGAGGAGGGCTATCACCCAGCTTCTCACAGGAAGTCTCCCAGACAGGGGTGAGCAGGGCCTGGCGGATGGGGCTCAGCACGGCCGCCCTAAGGGCTGGGAAAGCCCTATTTCCTCCAGGCCGGGCTGCCTCGGGCCAAGCTCACTCTGGCCTTAGTTTCCCCACTGCCCCTGGAGGGAAGGAAGGCAAAGACTTTGAGTCCTAGGGATGAAAGGCTCAGCCCAGGCCCAGACCACCACTCCCTGTAAAACAGGGCGGGTGACGCCGCTGCTCTTTTTGGCTGGCGAGTAGCCTGATCACCTTTGAAGATGAAACATGCTCGGGCCTAATGAGGAGTCAGTTGGCCAAGGTGGGAGCAGGGCTGGGCTGTGGGAGCCCGGCACCTGCCTCACCTGGCCCCAGCACCCGCCCAGGGGGACAGAACGCTTCCCATTTCTGTGCAGACCCCCATGCCCGCACCAGCCCCACCTCCTCCCCTTCCCCAGACCAGGGCCCTTTCCCTCCTCTTCTCCTGGCTACCTCCCTGTCAGGCTGGAACCGATCCTAGGTGGGCAAGAGGGGCAGCCAAGGCCTTGGAGAACTGCCTTGGCCTCACGTGCCCCCTTCACTGCCCTGGGCGGGGCCCACACCCTGCGCTTTTGGGGCACCCTGCCGAGACACACCGAACCCTCCATGTTTCCAGGCCACATGGGTCATTTCCAATATGGTAGCCGACCGGGGGGACACAGCTTCCTTTACATGCATGAGAACAGTGCTCAGAATAAAGGACACCCTCAGGCCACTTATTCCTCTTCTTCCTGGGCTTCCAGATGGGCTCCAAAGGCAAGGAGCCAAGCGGAAGCCTCCGGCCTGGCGGTCACCGCTCTGCTGGGTGAGGGCACAGGAATAGCCTCCAGAGTGTTTGAAGCGCACACTCTTCACTGGGCAGATCAGATGCACGCCTCTTTTCTGCCACCGCTCCCCTTCTTTCTCTTTCCGTTTTCCTTCCCTCAGTCCAGCCTGGGGCCTGCCCACTTGTGTCCTGCTCAGACAGACGCTTCCCGCCCATGGGCCAACCCCACCTCCTTTTAGAGGCCCTGGAACATCCAAACATAGCCTCTGAGACCAGCTCATTTCCCAGGAAGTCATTGGGAGAACAGAACGGGGCATGCACACAGCTCAGGCTCTCCCGGGAGGCAGGCCGGCAGTCTCGTAAATGCACTAATTTTAGGCACAACTCAGAGATAACCTTACCTACATGCTCCAGAAGAGGTGCGTCCACCTGGGATTATCATATCTTCTTAATGGTTCATTTGTGTTCATTAAGTAAATTAATTCATTTATCTGATTTGCAGAGCAATGCCCAAAGGGTGGACTTTTGGATCGTCAACATCCAACCTCCAAGTGAGCTTTTGGAATTACTACTTTCCTAAATTAGAAAGATGTCTATCTCCATTCCTCATCCTCGAGGCTCCAGGGAGAGAGGAGCTCACTGAGATCTACACCCCTCCCCCGGTCTTCCCCACCTCCCAGAGCCAAGCTTGGGGCTCCCACTTTGAAGTCCCTACATCCTACACCACTGCCCCTGCTTGACCTTCACCCCCAGGGTCCACAGGTCTCCCCATTCCAAACTGCACAACCTGCAGGCTCAGGGATACCTCTTTGTCCTTGACTCCCACCAAAGCTGGGCTTTCGGAAGAGCTGGGCAATGTCTGGAAAGTCCATTAGGAGGAACTGGGGAGGGGTGCCTGGGTGGCTCAGTCGGTTAAGTGTCTGGCTTCAGCTCAGGTCATGATCCTGGGGTCCTGGGATCAAGCCCCACGTTGGGCTCCCTGCTCAGAGGGAGTCTGCTTCTCCCTCTCCCTCTGCTCCTCCCCCCGCTTGTGTTCTCTTTCTCAAGTAAATAAATAAAATCTTTAAAAAAAAAGGGGGGGGGCGCCTGGGTGGCTCAGATGGTTAAACGTCTGCCTTCGGCTCAGGTCATGATCTCAGGGTCCTGGGATCGAGTCCCACATCGGGCTCCCTGCTCCTTGGGAGCCTGCTTCTCCCTCTGCCTTTCTCTCTCACTCTGTCTCTCACGAATAAATAAATAAAACCTTAAAAAAAAAAAAAAAAGGAAGAACTGGGGGAAAGGCCAAGGACTCGGCCTCAGTGGCAACCACGGCGAGGAACAGGGAGGAGGCGCCCAGCTCCACTCCCCTCACCAGGATTTCAGCTCCTGCATCCTCTCCAAACTGTGCTGTACGACTCCGGGAGAACTCCACGCTAACACATCCGTACCGGACCATCGAGAATGCAGCAAAACCCCGGAGCAGGGCCAGGGGGACGTGCATGTCCGTGCACACAGCGCCCCAGTGCGCCTCCGTGAGGGGCATGGGCAAGGGCACTGATTACAGGCTCTGCAGGGAGGCAGCTTGCTGGAATTTTAAGGCCCTGGGGTTTTAGGAGGACTGGCGGCAATAAGGCCCTCCCGGCTGGGCAGCGTGGCCGGCCCTGCCTTCCCCGCTAGCTGGTGGTGCTGCACCCTGGCTGGGCGGGCAGGCGCGGGGGGCTCACCTTGTGGTCGAGCTCAGCACTGGCCTTTGGCTGTTGCCCTTGGCACGGTGGCAAGGTCTCAGAGCCCAGGTGCTGCCTGAGGGATGATGGCCTCATGAGGCTCAGCAGCTGGCTGAGTGAAGACAGCTGGGGAGGAGAAGAGAGGCTGTCATACAGAGGGGCCTCGGGACACCTGGGGACTCGGCCGGCACCGGCAAGTCAGAGCATGGGCTCTGGAGCCAGACCACCAGCTTCCGTGACCTGGATCCACCTCTCCCCAGCATGCTGTGTGGCCTCTTGGGGCCCGAGTGTCCTGTAGCTGCAAGATGGAGACAGCCACACACCCTGTTCCCAGGACAGGAGAGTCGCGCGTGCACACGGGGCCTGGCACAGGCCGAGCCTTCCTTCAAAGGCGTGAACTCAGATCTCTGTAGGCCGGGGATTTGATCCACTTCCCTGGAGGGAGCACTCAGGCCTGGAAGAACCAAGGCCACCCGAGCCGCTGCTCAAGTCCCTCTCCCCGCTGAACTTGCTGTGGGCTTGGAGGGGCTCACGGGGGAGCAGAGGCTCTGTGCCCCCCGCCCCCTCTCATGCCTGCTCCCCATCACTCTGCCTGCCCCCATTTCTCCGCCCCGCCCTTTCCCTTCCAGGGGATTTTAAAGCAAATCCAAACACTGTATGATTTTACCCATAAAGAGCTTCTCACCCAAAAGGATAAGGATTTCTTTCCCCAGCATGGTCACAGTATCATTCTCTTGCCCAGCAAAATTACCAAGAATTCCTTATATGATCTAACACTGTGTTCGGGTTTCTCTGACGGGCTCAAAAAATGTCCTTACCAGTTGTGTTTTTGGAACGGGGATTCCCCACAAGGTCCGCACACTGCATATGGTTGCTATGTCCCTTAATCTGCTAGCTGCCCGCCTCCTCCATGTAAACTGCTTACCCTCTCTGAACAAATGGGAGTGCCCCCACCCCTCCCAGGAACAGGGCCTGCAGGAGTCCAGGTGTCAGCAGTGAGCCACTCCTTCGGGCCCAGCCCCTGCACCTGGTTTGGGCCGCCTGGGTTCAGCCCCAACAAGGACCATTCAGCTGCCCTGGAGCTAACTTGTGGTCAGGACAGAGGCAGGCAGTATGTGGGTCCCTGGCGCCTCTGGGCCCACCTGCAACCCTGGGAAAGGGGCAGATGCAGATTGAAGGAGCAGAGCCAGCCGAGTTCACAGAGGCACCATCTTTTTAGATGTAGCAGGTGTAGGCTGCCCTAAAGGGCTTAGGCCCGAGCCCCCAGCCCAGCATCCTGCTCGAGCCCAGCCTTGCCCGGCACACCTGGCTTCCTCTCCCTGACTCACCCGCAGACACCTGCTCAGCATCTCAGCCGGCCACAGGCTCAGACAGCCCACAAGAGCAGCTGGGCTGAGGGCTAGGAGACAGGCCTAGGGCCTCGGCTCCTGGAAGGGGGCCAGGGCTTCTCGGCCTCGTGTCTGATCCCTTTAGGAACGGAGAGGAGGCAGGAAGAGAGAGAAGGTTCTAGGCAAAGAGAGGCACCATCTGGAGCTTCCCCCAAACCAGAGCTGGGCCGTCTTGCTCAGGCCTTGCGAGGCTGGGGATGGTTTCCAAAGCGGCCCTGCCTGCTTGGGGATCACAGCTGTGCGAGCACAGGGGCCAGGCTCTGCAGCCCACGCCCCCAGAAGCCGTCCTCAGGCAGGCAGCCTCGCCCCAGCCAGCCCCTCCCGGCTCCAGGAGGCCCGGGCAGGGCCGGGCGGGGGAGTACACAGCAGCGGCTCAGCGGCTTGCCGGCTCCCATGTTTTTCCTCTCCACGAAAACGGCTTCGCCCTGCTCAGCGCAGCAAGCTGCCGCCTTCTGATTGCTTACCCTCCTTTGTTTCCAGTTCTGGCAGCCACACCCCTCTCCGGGATAAGGGCTTTTTTGGACCACGCATCCCCGCAGGGAGGGCCAGGACCTGACATCACACCTCCCCACCTCACCCGCCGCTGGGAGCTGTCTCTACAAACACTCAGCCCATTAGGACAGACACCTCCAGGCAAGAGGCAAATGATCACCCAAGCAGGCAGGCCTCCACTGGTCTTGTCCGCCCGGTGGGCAGCAGGAGGCAGGCAAGTTCCAGCCGGGCAACTGGCCACACGGCCGGGCACTCCTGTGCTCAGGCCCCGGTGGTGCTTCTATCTGCCCAGTGGAGAAGGCCAGGATCTTAAGTGTCAGTGAGGCTCGGGCAGCCCTGCTGTCCCCTGGAGCCGGCACCCTCACCGGGCCTTGCGACCAGACACGTGCAGCTGCCCCTATCCGCCTTCCAGCCCCAGCCCCCCTCCCTTGACCACTGCCGCCCACACCACCCACATCTGCCAATCCTCTCGCCCGGAACGACTTTTGCGTCCACCACATTTACCACCTCCTAACGCGTTCTGTAATTTACTTGTTTACCATGCTTCTTACCTGTCCCCCTCTCCCTCGCTAGAACATAGGGCCCACAAGGGCAATTTTGTTCCCCGCAGTGTCCCCCCGGGGTCGAGCACAGCCCCTGGCACATGTTATATGTTTCCTAAGTCTTCGTTCCCTGAAGGAATGCAGGGCAGGGCAGAACTGCCGTCAGCCTCTCCCTAGGAGATGCAGACCCTCGAACTCCTGCATTTGGGCCATTTACAGCCTGTGTCTTCCCGACTCCAAACTGGACGACGTGGCTTGACGAAAGAGGCTTGCTGTGTTGCAAGAGGTGGCCTGGGAGAAGCAGCAAACTCCCGACTGGTCTCCAAACCTGTTCCACCTGTGTCTTGCCGATCTCGGTAAAGAGCCTCTCCATCCTGCCAGTTGCATAGGTCTGGGAGCCCTCCTTGTCTCCTTCCTCTCACATCTCCTGTCCCACTGGCTGTGCTTGGGAAACACACCTAGAGTCGGACCACTTCTCACCACCTACGCCGCTATCTCCCCAGGCCAAACCATCTTCATCTCTTACCAGGATTACTGCAATTGCCTAAGCTCAACATAGCAGCCAGAGTAATTTAAAAAGATTTTATAAATTAGATTCTGTTTCTCTTATCAAAACCTTCCAATGGCTCTCCAGCCAGAGTGGCTTCTGTTTTTCCTCTAACCTAAGAGAACTCTGGCTGCCCCAGGGCCTTTGCACTGGCTGTTTCCTGTGTGGAATGCTCTTCCCCGAGAAACCTGCCTGACCTTTTCAGTTCTATGCACAAATGTCCCCATCTCCCAACATTCCCTCTTCTCTTTATCTGGCTTTATTTTTCTCCAGGGCCCTTATGACCATCTGGTATGGCAAATATTTACTTTTTTCTTGGTGCCTGTGTCCGTCTCCCTCTAGACTGTGAGTTTCACAAGGGAGGGACTGAGTTCTCTTCAGGGTTGTATCTTTAGTGTCCCGAGCAGGGTCTGGAGCACACTGTGCACGAAGCCAAAACCCTGCTGTTTCTGGGATATTCCCAAGATTCCCAAGGACAACAGGAAGCAGCCTGACCCCAAGGCTCTCCTGGAAAATGAGGCCTTGGGGGAGGGCAGGGGTGCATCCTGACCACCTACAGAAGTCCCATTCCTCAAATTCTAGTTCTTCAGCTCCTACTCCTAGGGCCTCAGACTGCAGCCTGAGACAGAGAGTCAAGCCATCCAGGGGTCAGGGACTCCTCCTGCCCAGCAGGGCCCTGAGAGCCTCTGCCCAGGCACTCACCCCAGAACTTCTCCTAGAGGAGTCAATTCTCTATCCCCCGGCTCCCCTTCAGAGTCAATCAACTGATAAGGTTTATCAAGCATTTGTACCTCAATGAAGGAAGTAGAAGCCACAGCCCTTGTTCTCCTAGCTGCCACTTAGGGATAAAGCTCAAGGGACCAGCAGGGCACCTTCAGCATGAAATGGCAGGCCTGGTCTGGGCTGTCACCACGATGACAGCCAAGGAAGGGGCTGGAGAAGCAGAGACGGCATGTTGCAGTGGTCAAGGGCAAGGACCCTGTGGCTGAATCCTAGCTCCACGGCTTTCCCCGCTGTATGGCCCTGAGAACCTTCCTAACTGCACCTGCCTCAGTTGCCCCATCTGTGAAAAATGTCTGATGGTAACAGTCCTTACAGCCGGGGGCTGCTATGAGAGGTAAGCTCTGAGAACAGACCCTGGGACACGGCCTGTGCTATGCAGAGTGTTGGCTACGGCCGTTTCAGTTGGGATGTGATGATGGAAAGGAAGGAGGGTCAGGGCACAGAGCTGTGTGCAGAGAGAGCGGGGCTGGCCCGCGAGGAGGGCTGGGAAGAACAGGTGGCGCGGTCAGGCCGCATGGAGAATCTGGGAAAGGGGGCGTTGCGGGGTTCGATGCGTGGAGGCTGTGGGGCCAAGGTGGTGACCCTTTGAAGGCAAGGATCCGTCTGACAGGCCAGACTGGAAAGGGGAGCGCCTACAGCCTGGAGACCTGGGAGGCGCCTGCAGTGGAGATGGGGGAAACAGGCAGGGGGGCCGCAGGCAGGCCCCAGCTGGTCCCTCCTCTCTGCGAGCCGCCCGGAGGCTGCGCAGCCCGCACCAGCCGCCGGCAGACTCTCCTCTCTGCAACATGAGCACTGACTCAGCCTCCTGGCCCTGGCTCAGGACACCTTCTCTGGAAGCCACTTCACGGCCCTTGGGCAGTGTTAGTCACTGCACCCTCAGCCCACCTTGCTCACACCCTGTCTTCAGAGGCTGGTTCCTGGTGCGGAGCCTGGCACGGAGCCTGGCACACAGGCGGTGCTTAGCTGGGGTCTCTGGAAGAGATGGGCACGCGGTGGGCATGCGGGTGACTGGTATGGCTGGAGAGCCCTGGAGCTGGGCGGGCCTGGGCCGGGCTTGGCCCCTGGCAGGCCCTGGGGAGCAGCTGGGGGCTCCCGGGCCCGAATGCTTGAGCCACTCTTTGGCCACTGCCAAACACTGCAGGTGGGCGACCACCCCCCACCCCCCCACAGCTGGTCCTGCCTTTCCTGAGCTGGACGCTCTGGCTTTTCCCCTCTGTTCTGCTGACACCGTGCTCTGTTCTCCTTGGGGCTCACGGACCCCCACCTGCCCTCCAGAGCCCTCTGGGTTCAGGCGGTCTTGTTTGCCTGCTGCATCTCCGCCGGCCCCCACTCCTAACCGCCTGCACCCCCGAGACACCGTTTGGTCTCTCCTCCCTCACGGAGATGCTCTGTCATCAGGCAGTCATCTGTGTGAAGGCACCCCAGTGCGGGCCACTCCCTCCCCCACCCCTCCCCAGGTCTCTGGGGAAAGGGAACTTCCGCTTGCACACTCCAGGGGCTCCACTCCAGGCTCGTTCACTCCACAAGTACACGTGGAGTCCCCGTGTGTGCCAGGCACTGTGCTGGGTGCTGACGGGCAGAAAGATTTGGTCCCTGCACTCAAGGAGCTGCTGCTGGGATGTGTGTGTGTGTGTGTGTGTGTATGTGCACGCCCGTGCGCGTACACAGACCGTGACCCAATAAATAAGAAAACGTCAGGAGGTAAATAATTTAAAACAGGGGGATGTGCCAGGGGACTTTGCATTGGGTGGTCAGGAAAGGCCTCTGAGTGGAGGTGTCATTTCAGCAGGAACTGGAATGACAATAAGCTCCAGCCAGGCTAAGTCCTCGGGAGAAAGTATTTACAGCAAAGGGGGCAGCCGGGGCAAAAGCCAGGCCAAGCCCAATCAGACAAACCAACACAACCAGTCAGCTTTCTGCGCTCCCGCCCTGCAATCCCGGCATTGCAGACTCAGCGATATTGTCCACCCTGCCCCGGGATGTGCCGGAACGTTCTCTCAGCACTCTGGGCAAGGGGTTACGCAGGCTTCCCGAGGACGCCTCTACGAACAGAGTCGCACAGCCCTTCACAGGGACTGCCTGGACCCTCTGGTGTTGCTGGGCTAGAGAGCTCAGTTGTACCCAGCAACTATTCTTGGATCCCAGGAGCTTCCAGGGGGTAAGGGTAAGGGTGTGCTCAACCTCTCGGCCACCCATCCGTGGGCTGGCTGGGACCCACGCTGCCCCCACGGCCCCGAGCTGCGGAGGCCGTGGTCAGAGCTTTCTGGGGAGAAGGGGAATGGGGAAAGAAGACAAAGCTCTACTTTTCTTTCGGCCCCAAGAATGCCTAACATTGGAAAAGGAGAGGCACTAGGCGTGAGTAGTTTTAAGGGCATAGTGTTTGTTTTCGTTTGCACTGTTTTTCTTTCCGCCTATAAAAAGTAATATAAGCAGGGGCTGGGGAAGGAGAGAATGGAAATTAGCATTGAACGGGTATGGCGTTTTTATTTGGGAGGATGAAAAAAGTTCTGGAGGTGGACGGTGGTGATGGTGCACCACTTTGTGAATGTACTCAGAGCCGCTGAATTGTACGCTTCGAAATGGCTGAACTCTGCACTTAAAATTGTCATGATGGTAAAAAAAAAAAACAAAAAAACCCAACAAAAACGTTAAAGCGGTAAATGTTATGTCATGCGTATTTTACCACGGCTAAAAAAACCCCAAACCAACAAGTAACACATGCTCCCAGCTCACTGCTCTAGCCTCAGTGCCTAGCACATAGTGGGCATACAAAACAGTCATTGCTGAATGCAAGGATATGAGGGAAAAATTCACACTCGACTTGCCTCTCCTGGCCTGAGGCTCCCAACCTTTGGGAAAAGCCACAGGAACAGGCAGGCCTCGGGGGGAGCCCTCTGCTCACCCACAGGCTTCCTGGGCCCAGGGGATGCTGCCCAGCAGAGGCCAAGACTCACCTGGGCCTTCTCTTGCCAGAGAGGGAGCGTCTCTTGCTGGTCCAGCATCTGGGCAATGACCACGAGGCTGAGCTGGCTTCGAAGTTGCCTGTGGGGAAGGAGCAAGAGGGACTGAGGGGTGGGACACTCTGAGAGCAAGTGGGCTGGAGGCACATGTCGGGGCAGCATGGGAGAGGCGTGCTGCCTGGAGTACTCTGTCCTGCTCTTCTGGTTTATAGTATTTATCATTTATTTTAGAAGCAATAAAACATGATGGCAGGGTTAAAAAATAAGCAAAAGGAAAAAAAAATTAAAGTCGGTAATTTCAGAGGCTGGCTCAGCAGTTTTTCTTCTCAGTTCGTCTTTCTGAGTATCTGTACTTACCTGCGGATACACAGTGATAAGGAACGTTCAACTGCTTTGGCACAGACCTTTGCCTTTTTTGTCCTTGGTGGCATTAGAATCTTTCATGGGGCTAAACTTTGTTTTTCTTTCACCTAGCATCAACTTTCCTTTGGAGAAGCTGCTCACCCAGAGTGGGCACATGAGCCAGGCCCGGCCCATCAGAGTCTGACTGACTGAGCCTCTTAGAGGTCGCCCCGGTGCCCTGGTTGGAATTATCAACCAGGGCATGTGCCTTGGTTGGAATTATCAAGCAGAACATGTGCCGTTCCAGCAGGGCCACTGGTCGGGCAGGAGGTGATCCTACACCTGCTGGTGACCATCATGCCTCCTTGTGGGAGAGCCTGGAGGATGAAGCAAGCAGAGACAGAGGACAGGGACAGAGCTCTGACAACACCCAGAGCCTGCTGTGCCTGAAGCCCCCAGCCCCTGGACCATTCAGTAGGTCAGTTGGTCATGTGGGCCAATAAAGTGTCTTTGGCTTCAGTCAGTTTGGGCTGGGCTTCTGAGTCAAGCACTAACTAGTCTTAACTGATGAACTCAGGGGGCTAGTATCTCTTCTCTTTGGGACTGAAGACCTCTGATGGGGATTTCAGAAGCTCATGTTCAGGGCTCTGATTTCCATGGGTCCTTGAGAACTAAAGGGAGCAGAAAGAGAAGAGAGGAGGGGCGTGGAGACCAGAGGATGAGGCTGGGGTGACAGGGGCTGAGGAGGCTGTGGGGGGGTCGAGGGCCCCTCCTCTGTCCATGCTCCTTGCCATAGCTCGTCTCCACCAAGAGGGTCACATCTCTCTTGCACCTCCATACACTCTAGGAGCAGATGTCAGCCCCTGGCACGGACCTTGATGTGGCCACAGTCCCTAGTTTCTGCAGAGAGCCACCATCAGAGGAAGCAAAGGAGAGGTCCCGAAGCTAGAGGAAACATAAGGCACATGAAAGAAGACGCTTGGGCTGGAACCAGCTCCTTAAAGGGGAAATGCCCTCAGGTCATGGCACTGCTGGGGGGACCCACACAGCCGCCCTCACCCGTATTCCTGGAATGACACCACAAGGAACTGAAGGACTGGACATCTGGAACAGCCTGCCACAGGCAGCACGGGGAAATGCAAGTACTCTGGGGAGGCAGGATCCAGTCTGGCCACTTCCGGGCTTGGTGGTCCACTCTCCGCTGCAACTTCCCCAGGGTCGGGCCTGCTGCCGCCCAGGCCTCACATGACGGAGGGAACTGGGGTAGGAATGGGGAACTGGGGTAGGAACTGGGGTAGGAATGGCTCCTCGAAGTTCCTGTGGGGCTGGGCAGGCTGGAACCGCAACCAGGGGCCTTGCTGATTTTCTTAGCACTTTGTCAAGAAAGTCAGAGGGATCGGGGCGCCTGGGTGGCTCAGTCGTTAAGCGTCTGCCTTCGGCTCAGGTCATGATTCCAGGTCCTGGAATCGAGCCCCGCATCGGGCTCCCTGCTCCGCGGGGAGCCTGCTTCTCCCTCTCCCACTCCCCCTGCATTCCCTCTCTCGCTGTGTCTCTCTCTCTGTCAAATAAGTAAATAAAATCTTTAAAAAAAAAAAAAAAAGAAAAGAAAGTCAGAGGGATCAACAAGGCAACAGGTTCTTGATGAAACGGAGAAAAAAAGCAGCCGCAAAGCAGTACCAAGATCAGTACCAGTACCACATCAGAAAGGAGAACATGAAAAAGGGGGAAATGCACAGTGCAGGGGAGGGTGCGGGCCGGCAGAGTCGCTCACACACAGCAGGTGGGAATTCAAATTGCACATCCACTTTGAGAAACTGCTTGGCAAGATCCACTAAAGATGAACACGTGCTCACCCATGACCTAGCAATCCTACGCCTAGGTACCTACGCGCGCGCACACAACGCGGAAGTGCACTTTAGGTACACCATTAGTACGCATACCCAGACTGGGCCCTATCGATCCAACTCAATCCTACTCGTAATGACAGTGAGCTGAAATGCTATCCAAAGTCCCGGATGGTCTTCACTGTGCCACGCGAAAGAAGCCAGATTCAAAAGAATACATGTGCATGATTCAGTTCCTTATAGAGTACAAAAATGGCCAAATAGCAGCTGTTGGAAGCCTGGGTAGTGGTGATGGCTGGGGGGACGGGCAGGTTCTGCTCATGTTGCATTTCTTGCTCTGAGTGCAGGTTTCCCACGGGTTCCACTTGTGGCCACTGAGCCATGCGCCTACGGTCTGTGTTCTGTTCTGTTTGTATGTTGCAGTTCAATAAAACTATTACTTAAAGAAGCAATTCAGGTGGAGGGAGAGACAGGATTGCCAGATTTAGCCAGTAAAAATAGAGGATGCCCAGTTAAATTTGAATTTCTTATTGACAAAGAGTCATTTTCTTGGCGTACGGTTCTCCTGCGCAATGTTTGTATTTTATCTGGCAACCCAGGGAGGGGCCAGCCATCCCTGGTCCATTCTGGATCAGGAAGACCTGACATTAACCAGCACGGGGCCCTCCCACACCCTGTCTCCCTTTAGCCTTGACCCCTCTCTGCGGAGCACCTCAGCGTCCCCACCTGACCTTCTGAGAGCTGTTGGAGAGGCAGCCTCTTTTAGCCGCATGGGATAGAAAACAGGAGTCCCTCATCATCCCCCACACTGGACTCCTGTGAGCGCAGCCAGACCATCGCCCCTCACTCAGCGCCCTACCCTCCCATTTTCTCCCGGAGCCCGGGCCACACGGCACACCCTGCATGGCTTCCATCTCATTGGCAGCCAGGACCTGCTCTCCGGCTGTTGCCCGGGAGCCCCAGCAGCAGCTGGCCGGGAACACAGTGGGAGGTAAATGGCCCCTCTGTGCCTTGCTCCAAAGTTAACTCGCAGCCAGAGTCAGAAGTTCTGCATCTGGGCTTCGTTAATCCAAAACCCAGGCCTCGGAGGGCGGGGAGGGGCCAACCTGGGGGCAGGCCAGTGGAGCAGAGCCGGGGTGGTTCCAGAAGGGAAGAAGCAGGCTGGGTGGGTCAGGACAGGGCTGTTGTCCAGAAAAGAAAAAAAGCACCAGAAAAAGCACCGGGTGAATGGATGAAAAGGAACCCACATCTGAGGGTGGCATGCTCCCCCTCGCTGTCCCCGCCTGCCCACTGCCTTTCATTCTGACGGCCCCCCTGCCTTTTAAACACAGTCTCCTGTGCTCTCAGTTCCCACTGGGACACAGGGAAAGGGGACAGGACCGCTTTTTAATTTTAGACTGAGACCTTATTATACGGAGGAGAAAACACAAAGACTCACCCCAAATAACACCCAAACTGTGCAGGGGGCAAGCAAAGGGGCCCCGTAGGCCCAGCCAAGGTCGGCCAGGGGCTCTTCCTCTCTCTCCTAGAAGCTGCCTGACCCCACCCGGCAAGGACTCCCCGGGACTCAAACCGGACGGATAAAGGAGGATGCAGAAGGCACTGGAGGCATCCCAGCCACTGTCATATAAGGAAACAAGCCCCAGCTCTCTGTGCTCACACCAGGCCAGGCCTCTGCCTCAGCCCTGCCCCCACCCCTGCTCCCCCCACGGGCCTCTGTAAGATCAGGACACTGGATCGGCACTCAGAGGAGCCTAAGGCACTGCAAAATCTGGAATCCACAGCAGAGCTGGGAAGTGGAATGCAGGCACTCTGCTTCCCAGCCTCCGGCCTTCCCTCCAGCTCCTGCAAGGGGCGGCCCAGCCAGGCACCGGGCACCATGCTCGAACTCGGAGGAAGGCAAAGGCGCTAACCAGTGTGGGCCGCTAGGATGTTGGGACAACCACCCTGGTCAGTGCAGCCCCCTCTGGCGCCCCTCCTCTTCACTTGTTCGGAGGGGAACGAGGCCCTGCCAAGGCTGAACTACCCTAAAAGGCCATCAGGCATCTGGCCAAAGGCGTGAGCTGCCTTTTCCATGTCTTTAGGGCAGTTCAGGAAGCAACAATAGTGGCCTGTTCCGCTGTGGAAATGCTGCCCAACACCCTGCCTCAGGGCATCTGCCCGCCTTGCCTCTCGGGGGCTGTCCATGCTGCCTCTCAGGCATCACGGCCACCCCTCATGCCACCGCCTCCGCCCACCACCCCCCCGCCTGCAGTCCTTCACTTGGAGCCTACCCTGCACGTGAGCACATACCACCCAGGCGGGAAGAACCAGGGCCTGGGCTCAGAGCTTAGGGCAACCTCCTTGGGAGTCTGCCCTGTCATCCACACACATGTTGGGACACTCGTGAGTGTGGGCATGCACAGTGCAGACAGGAAGAGACGGCCACAGATCCGTACAGGGGACCGCCACATGGCAACATGAAGGGTCCATCCACAACAGCTCACTGCTACATGGACGAATCCCACAAAGTGTTCACACTATGCCAAGATAGCCAGACACAAGAGAGAACACTGAGCACGGTCCCATTTATGCACAGGTTTAAAACCAGGCAAAAGGAAGCTATGGGATAGAAGTCGGGGAAGTGGTTTTCTTTGTAGAGGGAATGCCTAGGAGGGGCTTGAGAGGGCTTCTGGGGGGTGGGTGACGGTCTGCCCTATGATATAGCGGTAGTTACACAGACAGCTCCCTTTGCAAAGTGCACTGAGTAGCCACCTCTGATGTGTCCTTTCCTGCATGGATATTATATGAATAAAAAGGTTACTACTCTTGGGCGCCTGGGTGGCTCAGCTGGTTAAGCGACTGCCTTCGGCTCAGGTCATGATCCTGGAGTCCCTGGATCGAGTCCCGCATCGGG